GTTGGGGCAGACTCTGAAATATCACAAGGGTAATCATGAAACTTGATGTGGTCCCTGCTATTCAGAGGAACCTCGACAGGCTGGAGAAATGGGCAGAGAGAAACCTCATGAAGTTCAACAAAGGGAAGTGTAAAGTCCCACACCTGGCAGGAATAACCCCATGAACCAGTACAGGCTGGGAGATGACCCACTGGAGAGCAGCTTTGCAGAGAAGAACCTGGGGGTCCTGGTGGACAAGTCAATCATGGGCCAGCAGTGCACCCTCATGGAATCTGTGTAATCCCACAGCAACTAAAATTTGAGCTCTTAAAAAAAGATGCTCAAATATTTTTATAATACTTCAAAGCTTACAGATAATCAGAGCAGAATACGAAATAAAGTAAAATAGAAGGTCCAGAGGAATCCTGAATAAAAAATAGTTAATCTTAAAGAACTACTGGCTCACACACATGTTGAACTCTAGATGACAGGCTGCATTCCACTGCTTATACTGTGAACATAAATCCTATGGGGTGACTAGACTAATAAGTTTCTATTTCAAAAGACTGCACAGCTGCACACTCACAATAGGATACAGATAACCAGCTGAAGGTAAATATGAGATGACAATGAGTGAATGCAGAAGTCATTCATTCATCTCTAATTTTGCTTTCAATTTCTTCAAACCTAATCCCACATCAATTACTCAGAAAGATAAATGAACAGAAAGACTAAGGGGTTAACATTTTCTCTATATATTTACATATGTACACATGCAGAGATAGGACATATATTACTATATATTACACATAAACATGCATGTATATGTATATATAAAAAGACTGCATTCAGCTTGATGAATATTTCCAGATGAGTCACCTCTTTTAACTGTTACCATAATCTCCAAAAATTGTATCCTCCTACCTTTGCATAGGCAGTAGTTTTGATAAACCACTGCTTGAGGTACTTCTGTTCCACTTTTGCTCCTGAGCGCCATGAGCAACCATTGTCATCCACCTGTTCATTAGCTAGAACAGTCTGGTCCACTGGATCCCAATTAACCAAGGCCTAAAAAAGTTGCAAGAAGAAAAAATATTTTCAGCAGCTATTTCAAAAACAATCTTACTTTTCAGGCACTGACAGAACTATTCCTCGGGCCCCCAAGTTTTCTACATTTTGTTAACATCCATTTTAATCAGCAACACGGACTCATCTGAAGATGTTTTGAATGTTTATCTCCTCAGAACTCAAAAAAATAAAAATGCAGTTGACAGCATTTGCCTGGATTGATCACATTAGCAGGACAGACTGACACTTTTATATTCAGTGGTAAGTGAAAACATCCCTGAACGTTGTTCCCATTAACTATACTGCATAACTACATAGACTGATAATTTGTTGTTGTCCATCACTGATCCAAAAGCATTGAGAGTTAGATTAAAAGGCACATATGACTGAGGATCACCAACCCCAATGGACAGAATCACATAAAAGTAATGATAGTGTCAACTATCTTCCAAGTGAAAAAGTTAACATTTTCTGTACATTGTTTTTGACAACACTATGAATTACTTTTGGAATCATGTTTCCTATCAATTAGCAATATACATACATAAAAAAAATTAAATATATGTTGGTGCTCAGCTTTATAAACTTTGTATTTTGAGGGGGTAACTGAAATACCCGACATACCATACTGTGGGAAGGGGGAAAGGCAAAAGTCAAACCCACCTTCACACAATATTGACAAATTTAGCTCATCATTTATCATAAAGGATGCAAGGCCACAGAAGAACCCTAAGGGTAGTGAAATAGTCATTCCAGAAGGGGTACTCATCAGTGAATGATATTAACTTGAAAAAATGAACAGAAGGCAAAAAAAAAAAAAATCACAGCAAAGATGACCAATTCATTATATTGAGTGCTATTTAGCACTTGAGCTAAGTCAAAGTGATATCAGATAGACTGAAAACAGCAGCTCCAGCTCCATAACATGCTAACACTTTAAACATTATTTGAAAGATATTAAATAAATTCTTTGGGAGCGGGGAGGATTTAGCATCTCAGTCTAAAAACTAATCATGGTCCCTGGGTTATTCCCATTTCATACATTTATCTGTTGCTGATCAGCTTCTGAAATGCCCCAGTTTCTAAACAACTGTTTCGCCTAGTTTTAAATACACTGCTTGTTCTTAGAAGTAGTAGATACCATGATTATTTTATCTAATAGTGAGGACAGCAGAAAATACAGCTGCATGAATCCACTTTAAGAATGCTGTTGCTGTTTTTGTTATCAGTGGTTTTTTTCCGTGTGCAAGCTGATTGCCTACATTGATTTACACAGAATTTATTAGCGTAGAAAGAATTAAAGTCATTTTTTGATAAAAACATAAACTCACCTTCAAATCAAGCTCATGTGAGTAGGTCATAGGAATTTAAACTTTATATGATTTGTCTACCTTTCATCTGTCACCTACCAATAATGTCACATTGGCTTGCATAAAAGCCTTCTGAAAATTCCTTGGGAAATTAAAAGTAATTAATATATTAAACTATTAAACTAATATTACAGATCCATTTTTAGACCTTTCAGAATATACACTCTTTTTAATAATGGTACAGCACATTATGAAGTTGGCTCTAAAAATAATAATCTTTTCATTTATAAATTCTGGAAGAATCCCACATCGCTACAAAGTTACAGTAACATCTAAATAAATATCAAGTAGATAATATTAAGAAGTAATAAAACATCAGCTATTTACATGAGGCAATATAAGCATATACTTGTATTAAACTGGCTATGACTCAAACTTGAGAAGAAATAACCGTTTTCTTTTTTGATGATATTGGGTCAAATTTATGATGAAAATTTTGGAAAGTGACTGATTTAGATGATAATAACTATTTCGCATGACATATTCACATGACTCATAACAGGAAAATTTATCTAAATAAACAATGCAAAATGTAAAGCAAATACACAGGTAAGAAATCCATAGCTGAAGGGGTCATGTCTGTGGATTTTTTAAGTTGTACTTTGTCCCTTCCATCTCCCACAGACTTTTGACTAATACCCAGAACCTAGACATTAAGAAAAAGAGAGAGGATTTTGCTGTGGCGAATAAAGATGCACCCTTTATGGAAACTGCAGTACACTACCTCCAGCTCCCAGACATACTGAATCTGTATCTCCCTACCAGGGTCATTTCTGGCCAGACACGCATATACCTGGAACAAAACCTGAACTACACTAATGCTCTACATGTATCGTCTTTAATGCCACAGGAAGGCTATGAATTATCTTCTTGTACCTGGGATGAAAGTGTAATATAAGAGACTTCCAGCTGTGCAGCAGGACTGCTTAATGTATGCTGCAGGTATGCTGAAGACACGGGATAAATAAATGCTTTAAGCATCTATAACAATGTGAAGAGACCCAGGCTTACATGCTATCTCTCTGCCATCTCTTTCTTGCCAAGGAGCAACTGGTTAATATCCATCAGACACGACATCCCCTACAGGTTGACAGATGCTGATTTAAGTCCTCAAACTGATCCTTGATTCTTAGAGGGAAGCACATCCAATCACTGATACCCAAACGCATTCAGGATCCCACAACGCTGGGAGCCTACTTGCACAGAAACGTTGCATACCGTCACTGCTTCTAATGAAACAGCAAGCCTCATGCTTTGCAGATTCACCTGGAATTACTCTTAAAGCAAATAACTCTACACAGGAAAATAAGTCTGTGATGGCAAAACTAAGGGTTAAATTCTTGATTACAATTTGGAAATCCAATTACAAAAGAAAAAAAAAACCAAGCATGTCAGGGTATATCAAATACCAAATCATTCTGATAGCTGTCATTTAGGATCTATGAATATAAGTAAATAGAAGAGGGAGCTCAGTAACACTGTGCCTTCCATACACTACGTTTCAGCGTCAACATCTTTCTCTGGATTCTACATCCCTAATTACATTCTATGGGGTTTTCTGGTTTCTGTGGAATACAAATGAAACTTAAAAGCATATTTAAGAAATCTTAGTTTCCATTTTAAGTTAGGGACATTTATTAAATTGCAGCTTGGTTTATGTGCAGCTGTTTAGGTATCTGGAACTGAATTGCCTTTGCTACGCAAAGAGTTCTTCAGAACGTTAGTTTAACATCTTTGTTTTACCTCCCACTTAAGAAGTTAACTGAACTCTTCCCTTTTCAGAAAGCATGACATATGTTATTTATAAAATATCGTAAAGTGAAGAGTTTCTTAATATACCGCTAAATGAACAACTGTGCAATCTAATATTTGTGCAATATTTACAGTGCACAAATGGGGTCCAGGAATTCCATAGTTAGGCACATAATCTGCAGTTCCTGATCCTAGCAGTTTTGAAGCAGTCATAGTATTGTAACATAATTAAACAACTCACTGCTGAAGAGACTCATCATGATCATGCAAGAATCAACAGAAATCTTTCATATCTTCACTAGACTGAAGTTAAGAGCTAGAAAATCTTGATATGAAAGTCACGAAATAAATTAATAGCCACTACGTTCTTATCTAGCACATCAGTGTAAACCACTGGCACCAAACAAGTCTGATTTGACTTGTTATGATACCCGTTGATGTTAGACAGTTACATACAAAATTTAGTTATAGATAAAATTCATTATATTTTGCGGTGACATTATATTTTGCAGTGACATTATATTTTGCAGTGACATAAAACCAAATATAGCAGCATAAATATCTATCCACTTAAGGAATGTGAATAGATGATTTAGAAATACGTCACTGACATAATGACTGACTTGACTCAGTGTCAAGACATCAGTGTACATGTATAGTGTAACAGGTCAAAGTTTGTACCTACCTCCTTTTGATAAACTATCCCAGCTTCAAAAAGCTTAAGAAAGAGGTATTGTGTCCATTTATAGTACTCTGGTAGGCAAGTGGTTATTTCCTGTAGAAATGAAATAAAATTAAAATATATGAAACTATTCTTACTATATTACAACTTAAATAATTAACTCAGGATTGCATAACATATGCTAGAGACAAAACAGGTGTCACAACATAAATGCATTTTTGGGTAATGTCATTTTGAGTGATATTCACACGTATACAAAAACAGAGGACTCTGGCTTTGTGCATCGTTGTCATGCAAAGCAAAGCTTCCATGTTAGAATAAAATCCCCCTCCAATATCAATGCTAGTAGATACGAAAGTACAAGAAGAACGGAAACGACCACAGCTGTTGCTCAGTAATGAAAGGCAGGAACAGAGATCGTTGACTGCTCAGAGACAGCTCAGAGCTGGCTGCAGAGGAGAGAGCAGACTGGAGGAACCTACACAGCTGAACCCCTGGATATAGAAAGACAGGAGACGAGCACTGAGAAGCTGAGGGCATTGACTGACAGTACAGGGAAGACAGGAATGGAATATGGGGTAGGACTGTAACCTTCAAGATGTAAGAGCTGCAAAGGATATCTCACAACGAGCGATTACACAAGCGACCATGTGAAAGGCAAGCCAGCTCAAGGCAGGAGAATTCTCTACATCCAAATACGGAGAAAAAGCTAAAGAGTCACCAAAGAAGTCACAAGTGTGGAGGACTGTTAAGAGGGAAACACAGGCAGATAAAAATAAAAAGACAAGATAAAACAGAGGAACAGGAGTTAGGAGAACAGCAGGCAACGACATCATAGACAGCATTTTTTTAAACTTAAAGACATTTTATAGATTTTTACTGATCTCTAATAATTAAAAAACAGCCACCTTATTATGAAGACTGAGACTTTCCTCATTTAGGATTAGTGTTCATGTTTAAAGAAATATAATTTAGAAGTTGCAGAAATGCGGGAATGTATTTCTATAGAAATGGTATTGTAAAGTGAAAATAATAAAATAATCAATTGCTTATAAAGTTCCATATTTTAAAATATTTGTTCGTGAAAAGGCCAAACCGCATTTCAAATAAACATATTAATATGTGAAGTTGACTAAAGGATTAAATGATTACAGACTCTCAGTGCTCCTCCACACAAATGCAGCGTGTTACAGGCGCAACGGAAACACATACGCTCAACCCCTACATTTTAAAGTTTGGCCAAAGTGAAAACAACTATGTAACTTGGTATTTAAACTCTGATTTTATTATAGGTAAGAATAAGCTAATCACATTTCCTTGCTCAGTAACCTTCCTGTTTAACTTGCCTTTGTTTAAAAAAGACACTTTTTTACATACTTCCTCTTTAACTACATATGCCCTTGCTGAAGTGGAAGATGACTCCTACACTGGACCTTAAATCAACAAGGACACATCTTGATTTTAGAACTACTCGGTTGACAGTCAGGCACTGATAACTATTTGCAAACTGAATAAATTTGATCAGCTCCTAGAAAGAACTTCCAAATGTGAAATGTCTTTTTCACCCAGGCTTTCCTGCCATCTAAGCTTCCCACTACAGCTACTCTGGCACACGACATCCGTAGTATCATCTGCTACTCAAAGACATCTGAAACATTTTAGCACAAAAATTTTATTCTTCTTCTACAACTTTATATTCCAGTGCTGAAACGCTGCTCTGAACAGTTAATTTGACCTTTGAATAGATATGCCTCAAAAGTTAGTATAAGAGGCTTTCAAGACCAGAGACACTTGGTAGCAATTTTTCAGCACTGCATGCAAAGATTTAGCCATGAAAAACAGTGGCTTGATTAAATCCATGTGCTCTACACTGAAAAGAACACTTGATAAAAGTCTGATTTCCATCTCTCCAACTATACATTATCCATTAACTCTAAAAATATATACATCTATATATTTTGCCTGCTGCTCCAGACAGTGACATCAGTTCTTCTGCCAGTGCAAAGCCACTAACGGCAACGGAGTCTCATCCCTGTAATATCAGAGGCACGAAAGAGCAGAGATCACTTCTGGTACAAAATAAGATTATGTGAGCAACAGGCAAATATATAGGACAGCTGAAGTGAGCTGTTGAACAAAAATAGTAAAACAGACTGAGATTTGTCCTTGCGGTCTGGAATGGCAGATGTGTGTTAACTGAAACAATAAGAGGTGATATATCACAATCTTAAACAAGCACGTTTAGGACATGGTACAAACTAATTACTCAGAACGGACTCTCATGTATGTGCTCTCTCTGAAGTTATGAATTGATGAGCTTTCTAGAAAGAAAGGCAGCAGAACATAGCACTGAAGAAAATTTGCTCTGCAGTCACTGAACTGCAAAAAAGATCACTCAAGCTCATCATTTATTTAACTTTATAATCATGAAGGCTTCAAGTTACATACGATGGTTAAACTAAAGAGAAATGACATCACTACCAAGTGAAACGAGAAAGAAATGATGTGATTTCTGAGGAGGGCAAGCCAACAACCTCTTGCCAATCTCAAATTGCTCTTTTTTTTCCTTTAGTTCTGATCTCTATTGAATAAGTAATATCCGCTAACAAATTTCCATTAGGTTGCTATCATGCTTAATTTAAGTGAATGTCGAAGTTTTCCATATACTTTACGAGCCCGACAAAGATTTGCAGTACGTTAACAGAAGTGACTTGACTCAGAAATCCTGAAAAGGGTTCATAAAGAGGTTCTGCAGAACAGCATGATGGGATCCTTCCAAAACACGTAGCATGCTGCCGCCTTGTGAGCTGAGCACTCGCGCTACAGCCCAGGTAGCACATACAACCCATAGCACAACGCAGCTCAGTGAAAACACGTAAGCAAGATTTTAGCATATTTCCGTCTAAGATAAAATGTATACTAAATACAGGAACCCTCGTTAACACATATGAAATATGCTGCCCCCGCCCTCTGCCCGTGCTCTTCAGTGCTCCGTGCCAGATTCCGTGGCAAGCCACCACCGCAGCGTTCCAGACGGCACTATGAAACAGGAGCGAAAGCACCCCTTCCCCTCAGGTTGCCCTTTTCCTTTTGTCAGCTTGCTAATAAAAAAAAAAACCCAAAAACTATTATTGTCACCAAAATGCATCTTTTTCATTGATTACTGCTATTCCTCCTTACTCCTATGGAATAACACTCATTAAAACCAACTACTTTTAAAAACAGTAGAAATTGCCAAGATATAGAAGAGAAAGTTCCTTATTCATACCAAAAATTTCGTTACCTAAGCCCTTTGCCTCGGCACAGCCATCTGCTCCTACTCGGCATGATGGAGGGGTTAGCATTACAAGCCAATTACCTAAAGACCGATTAAAAGGGCTTTTTGGCAGATAAATTCTCAGTTACAAATTAAGTACTGGCATTACAACTTAGATTTGACAGTGGTGTAACTCAGGAAGTAACCGGTTCATGCTAAGATTAAACTGTACCTCAGTAAGAAACATCCGAAAAAAGAAAAACCCCAGCTACCAAAAAGAAGGGGAAACCCACACTACAGGATCCTGGATAAATACAAATACAAAGCAAATTCTGAATGGAAGATTCTGTTCATAATAGAAGAACATTAATTTTCAAATATCTTATAATTCATTATTCAATGTTCTCAATCTGCTACATTCTTACAACTTTCTATTACTTAGCTGTGAACCTAAAAGGTTGTTTTGTTTTGTTTTTTTTTAAGATAAAGGTTATATTTGCACAGTGCTTCCATGGTTCTCATTTTTTAACATAAGTAATATTCACAGCCTGCATAAAAGCTTCTATTTGCTGTAAGATCCACTAGGTTTTGTGAATAATACATAACTAGACTAGAGGGAAGCCACTTCCTAGTTTATTAGTAATCATTTTATTTCTAGCACACTCAGGTGCTATACTGGAGAAAGTCACATTGCACTTGAAACTCATTTAAAAAGGTGAGAAGGAGAGAAAGACAGTCTGAAAGGATTCTTTTCACAACTATTTGGGAAGATTAAACAGTCTTTAATCTACTCCTTGTCTACTTTGGTATCATACGGCATGTACCACCTAACCTGGAAGTTAAAATGATCCAGTTTTCACAGAGATTTAGAGCTAGACTGAACTACATTTCTAAATTCATTTAAATATTTGTATTTCAAAGGCACTTAAGAGTTTCACGCATTATTAGCTACATATACAAACGTCATGCAGCGCTTACCCTTTAGAACATTTTTCCTGCAAAAAAGGAGCCTCATATCAATGGTTTCCTTTTTCTTTCAATTACAAGTAGTGGCTGATTATCAGTGATAAGTGGACGGAGAGGAAAATGTAATAGGTAGCGCTCTATCTAGCGTTACCTTTTTAGGATTGCTCAGACAGTGCACAAGAATAGCAACTTCAAAATAAAATATACAAGTATCTGTACGAAAAGTATCTACCAGAGATTTCACCGTTTTTAATGCACGGAGTAGAAGAGGAACACTAATCTTACGCAAAACAAAGGAAAAGCGTTACGTGCTCTCCCTCCCTTGGTGCCGATGACACCAATCTTTGCGCAAATCATATTGCCTAATTCCGCTGAAAACAATCTTTAAAAGAAGTGGTAGGCAGTTTGCCATGCTATCTAGGATAGTATTTAGGAGAAACTTATTATCAGGAATACCCAAATTACTGACTGTTACCTTAAAAATAAAACTTAACTACAATTTTTTTTTTTTTGACTTTTCAAGTGACTTAAATGTCTCAGAGACAATTTTTCCTTCCTCAGAGGGCAGCTTTTTAACCCTGGATCTGACACAGAAATGTGTGCTTGCATTTAGAGAACAGAAACATTCTACCTCTTACCTAGTACTTTTTTCAAATCCTCTCCTTTCCCCCCAAAACATGCCCCTTTCAAAGTCTTGTATAAACTCCAGTTTTACTGTTTGAGGCGCTTAAAAAAATTTAGACATTCAGGAAAAAATAGATCACTATTAGTATTCAAACCTACTCTAAAGCAAGCTACTTAGAGAGAGAGTTTATGCATTTAATTACATGTTTAGCTGGCTTACATTTTACATTTAAAGGAATAATTTTCAAGCATCTTTGTAAGCTAGCTTCCTGAAATAATCTCATTACCTTTTAATAATGCCTTATTTTTTGTGCTTTACCGGTTAAGCAATTTCACTGAGTACAACAGGCAAATCAAAATATAAATGTGTTTTTGAGACAGAACAATGAAAAAACCGCAGATAATTAAAAGAAAACTTCTAGTATCCAGATGCAACAGAATTTCTTTACAGTAATTTTACCGAGCAAAACACCTACAACCAGTCTTCGTTTTCCTCGACAGGACTTTCCTGAACACCAGAAGACTTTTCCTATTTTGCGCAACACTCGTGGTTATTTAAACTAACCCGTGACAGAAGGCCTTTTTCTACCCTTTTCCACAGGAGTCACCATCATACTGTTGGGGTAAGCGCTTACATTATCACAGTATTGAGTAAGCCACCAATTTAGTGCCATACGAGTACAGAATTAAAAAAAAAAAAAACCCTCCTCACCTCTAAGAGCTCGCTGTTTAAGATGAGGACCTGCCCGGGGCAGGGTGGCACCGCGCCGGCACGCCCGAGCTCCGTGCAGCTGACAGACTAAGGTGCTCTGCCCAGCCTCATCAGCCCCGCGCAGAGGAGCTGCCTTGGCTTTATCAGCCTGGCAAATACGCTCTGCTGCAGCTTACCGCTGAGTTTCCAAAGGTGCCTCTGTCACGGCTAGCTCAAACATCTGCGCGTTCAGAGGTCATGTAAAACATTTATTTCAGGCACCATACAACTTCTGCATTAAATAAACATATCTCTATTTCTGAAGGATGCCGTTCGGGTCACTCTCACTTCAGCTAATTACCTCGCAGACCAGCAGCGCGGGCTAAATAAAATGAAACTAAACTAATGAGCCAAGAAGTGACAATCGGCCAAAATTTATTGCGTTCCAAGCAACGCTTTCTAGCTGTTTTTGAAATTTACCTTTCAAAATCACAAACTAAGTGCCCTGTATACCTACGCTTCTCATCATGGTTCTCCATACTGCCAATTCTCCATCTAGTCTTCAGAACGTAAGGGTTGAAGAAAAATCCAAAGACAGAGATGAATGTTCTCAATGTTCATATTGAACATTGCACATATTTTACTATTTTGAACCATTGCTATATTACGTATAGAAAATCTCTGAGATACGAATGCTTACAAACATAAAAAAATGATTGTGAAGAACGTGTGGCGTGAACCTTCCACTACAATCCTTTTATTTTCAGGAAGAAATAAAAGGAAGAAATCCTTTTATTTCTTAATTTCAGTTATTAAGAAAACTGAAATCTTACTAAAAAGGCTTATACTGAAAAGCTTGTCATATATATCACAAGACCAAGTACAGTTTTTAGACGTTTAGACATGCATATAAACAACTCTTCCTTCAGATTAAGGAAAACAGATGGCAGATCTCATACTGCCAGAAAACTAATGCTTTTTATTTTCAGACCTACAATACTGCTATAAAAATCCAAGATAAGGATCCCAATCACTCTCGGCAGAATCATATTAAGGTGGTAAGTAATGATTATTGCTGAGAATGTAAAGGTAGGGACTGACTTTGATTCACTGATTCATGAAATAACCCTAGAGTACGACTGCTTCAGAAATTGATGTCTTTCATTTTTATCTTGAAGACTACATTGGCTTATGGCTGTCTGTGTTGGTAAAGTTTTTAAGGTGAGCAGCTGATTCTCAAGAACTTGAGTTTTAAATAAAATATCTAGTTTCCTAGTGATCATGACACAAACAATTACAAAAATGCAGTCTTGCCTTTCATATTTAAAAGAACATAACCAAACTAGCCTTTAAAGTTACTAATTTTAAACCCTGGAGTATATTATGAAGTGTACACATTGAGAAAAAGCATTCCTCAAAATATATACACCTTAACACAAAGGCACCCTGTTTCATAAACGGCTGTTGATCAGAATGCCTGAATTTTCATAGAGAAAACTGCTACTTAGGAAGAGCTGAAAAAGCAGACAGAAAAGTCCAAGTGCAAAACCAAAATTATTTTAAAGAAAGAAAGATGCTCCTAAATCTTGAAATCATCAGATGATGTCAGTATGTCAAAATTGACAGAAGTTTGATAATTACATTTCCCACTTTTTTCAAGTGTAATTTTGCAAATTAACAATTTAAATTGGTCACGTTCAAAAGCTTCTATATTGCCATAACGAAAAAGATAAAATTCCTTCTTGTTCCATCAAAGAGTAAAAGAAGATAGCATTCCTTAAAAGAGAAAATCTTACCCTTTCCCACGTAAAAGACAGACCTAGTGCATCAAACTGTTCTCTCATGTGTTGAATATTACTGTAAAATAAAAAAAATTTTGCATCATTTAAAAAGATTAACGTCATGTGATCATATTTACAATCAGGTGCTTCTAAAGTTCTCAGAAATCAAGAGCACTAGTTAACCTCTAAATCCTACTATCTCACTAACTGTCACACTCCAGGAACTCTTACAATACTTATCTTAAATACTCATTTTAAAACTCCCTCATGCATCCTGGTTTAATTCAATGGCTGTGTATTCAAGAAAATTATTTTTTTTCCCTCTTACTTCAAGCATAACTGAAAAGCAAATATAGCACTTCTGGTTGAGGGAAACGTTCCTGAAACATCACTTTTCATTATTTTTAATTACCTTTACTGCAAGAGAGCCAAAGAGCCCTAAGAACTCTTCATGATGCACTAGGATGTGCCTTCATGATCAGCTTATGACTCTATCCTGGCTGCACGTTCTCTATCCAGTCTCCAGCAATACCATCTCTCAGAGGAAACACATGAAAGATCTCTCAACGTGCAGCTCCATGAAACAACCGAGCTTTCAAAGCCAGAAGGGAGTATTAACAATTACACTTGACTTCTGCATAGCACACATCATAGAATACTGCAGCTATTTAGTAATCTGCGCATTTTTGGAAGCAGTTTTCAGATGCACTAGCGATTCCCCTGGGTACAATATGCACTCCTTCTAGTATTTCTATGACTGCACAGCTCTAGTTACACTAGGAGAGGTTTGACAGCAGAGTCATATCAATACAGGTATATCAGGAAATCCTCTTACGGAGTCATAACTTCTGCTGGAAGAAAGAGCACTTTCAGTAGAACTGCTTACACCAATTCTAGACTCCAAGTGTATCAACAAAAGCATTTCAAGTTTGAGCGTATTTTTTACAAGGCTTCTGTCACTATATATATAAAATATGCATGTGTGTGTGTGTGTGTATGTATATATATATATAAAAATCAAAAACAAATGCCAACTGGCTTTTTACCAGCAAAAACTTCGGTGCTTTGTATAAGTAACTCTGGCTTCAAAATCTTGTGGTTTTTTTCCCTAACTTTGAGAATGTAAGAAGCAGCAATCAACTAGAGCTCATTCTAAATAATCTCTTCAGAACATGACGATGATCTGAAATTTGGCTGGTGACTCCTGAACTGAGTTAGCTGGCGCTTACTAGGGGGCTGTGTGCCCCCTTTCACAAGGGTGGCTAGCTCTGCTCCAGGGATAACTACAACACGTCAGGTTGCTATCACAGCATCAAGTCCAGAATGCAGCAGCATGATACTGGTGCAGGTTTATTTTTAATTTTTGAGCTACAATTTATGTCAGCTCCACGCACAGTTCAGTCATCCCTGCTGCAGGCATGACAAACATTCAAGACAGGGTCAGAAGAGAAAATGAGAGACAGCAATTACTTCAGCGATCAGAATTTAATCTGCCTGTATGATGAGTCATCTACCTTCCGTAGCACAATCAAAAAATTGGGTACGTAAATAATTTTCCTGTTTGGATGTTACTATAATCATTCCCAATAATGATCTGCTAACTTGTCTAAAATCAGCTACGTTGTTATAATATCTTAGCTAAATAAATAGTCTAACGATAAATAGTTAAATAGTCTAACGATAATCCTTTTTCAGTACTAAGGAAATTTTCAAGGCAAAATTTTCTTCTACTATAAAACATCTTGTACCTTACTGTTTTAAGTGTATGAAAAAATATGCACCTATTAAAAAAAAAGGGAGGCGGGGAGAAAAATACAACAACATAGAAAGTAGCAGAAGAAAATCAGTTCAGACTGTGCCCTGCCACACACTTTTTGATATAACCCTGCAAATTGCTTAGGGTACAATTAGATGAAACAGGCTGAGCTGATCCGGCAGGATACTACTGCCCTACGTTCTCACCGCTTTTCTATGGTGAGCCAATTCAACTCATTAAATTGGCAGAACGGCTTTCTTCTGGGTTAGCAAGCTGAATCAGTTTGGCAAGACCTCATGAGTGCCAAAGCTATCCAATCGGTGCAGAGGGACCACGCAGTAGGGAGAACGACAAGAGAGTTAAATATGAGGCACTTCGATATGACAGACGCCTAGATTTGTTTTAGAAGTTAGCTACAGTAGACCTATTGAAGGAAGACAGAAATCATCAATTTACTGTCCATATTCCTTAGGAAGGAAATAATCTCCAGTAACAAAGGCAGCACTTTTGCCCAGAGCAAGACACTGGTAGGAGAATTTTTGCTAAGAGTCTGTCAAATGTTTCCATCTACCCAGAGGTTTCTAATTTCCTTTTAACTACTGTCACATACAGTATGTTTGGTCCACAATATACTGTGCACAGTGTTTTTTCTGACTGTCTCAAAAGAAAAAAACCAAGTTTTTTGTATCTTGAGGGTAACTAGTTCTCACCCATAGCCTCATCTAAATCATACAAGAAAAAAATTAAAAAAAAAACCCTAGGATAAACAAGTAATAATTTGTGTAGAGGGCAGCACATGTATTCTCCCTAACTGAAATCATTTGTCTGCACGTTCTAGTAGGAAAGTATAAAGTGATCCAAATACAGTATCAGAAGCATGTACAAATTTAAAAGAAACAGCACTATCAAAGGAAATGGATCAGAGTACAAAAAGTTACTACAGCTAGGTTATTTCACTCAGAGCACAGTAAACAGCATCACTTAGAAGAACGCTTTATGAGTCATTTATAGAAATTAGCATTTACTTAGGTAACTGTCTACTCATTTTAAGGAATACTAGGGGAACATAACACCTAATTCTGAGGTCTAAAGCCCAAAACTTCCACTGAAATGAGCAACAATAATGACTGCTTATCATCTTCCAAGACCAGGTCTCAGATGAAAAAAAAATGTTCTTCCTCTTTCACATGCTACTGAAAACTGCTAGCAAACCTAATCACGTATCTCATCGTTTTCAACTGTGTAGTCTATCCTAAGGTTTGACTCACCATAAAAAAAAATCTGATTTATTTCTTACTCCCTTGTGCGTTTGGGAAATGTCACTTTTACAATATCCTACCCTTTTAAAAGTTAAAACTAATCAGAAAAAGTCCTACCCTTTTAAAAGTTAAAACTCATCACAAAAAGAACCTTGAAAATTACATTGATACATTAAGCTTTTGAAACTGAACTAACTGCACAGTCCCACACAACATTAGCAAACAGCACTAGTTCTTTCTGTCCTGTCTTTCTCCTGCTTCTACTGGTTTGGCTTTGTTTTCTTTTTTTATGGGGGCCAGAGTACAGATATTCACAACAGAAATGTGACATTACTTAAATCCATTAAAATTACCTTTGTGTCCAGCTTGCAGGGTGCAGACCATGCTCAACTGCAGCATTTTCTGCTGGTAACCCAAACGCATCCCATCCCATTGGATTTATCACCTGTTAGCAAAAGATAAAAAAATGATCTTATGTAACTTTCTGGAATGGCATCAGTAACACACACAAGCCTCAAAATAACGAGGAGTTTTGCATTTCAGCATCTGCTTTGCCTCATTTGAGCCTCTTCAAAGTATGCCTACTAGGGCTGGTCTGTTTTAAAGGAGGAATATGAAATACACTTGCTGTCTACAATTTGATGTGAGAGGGAGCTTAAAGTATTATGTAATAAATCCTCCTGACTCTTTCAATACTAGGTTAGCAATGACAACACCAATCCTTTGCAATTCGTGTGGTGGTCAAAGCTCGCATTTGTCACTACCGCTCAGCGGAATCAAACGTTCGCTCCCAAGGAGAAGAAAGCATACAAAACCGTTCGAACCAAGAGCTTTATAACTGTACCTGATGTGGAGCCTACTAATTTCTTTTTCCTTTTCTTTAATAAAAAAATGAAAAATACCTTCTGATTACCCTAATTCCTCCAGGTAATATGAAGAGAGTAGGGGAGAAAAGTCTTTGTCACATTTTACTGAAAATGTTTTTGTAAATTTTGGCTGAGGATCGACACAACATATTTCAGGGACATCAAATAAATGACAGAGGAAAAAATGTTTACTACAAAATACAATAGATAAACTCTGTTGAAATATATACACCTCTTTCCTATTAACATGCAACTTGCTGTGAAAAATCACATATCTAGCAACACAGTGGGTATTCAAAAGAACAATGTAATAACCAGGAAACGAATGGTCAGCCCTTAACATGCTGTCATTAAATACAACACCTATGCACTGGGTACCGGGTAGAAGTAATGCCATTTCTCAAACCTACAAATGTGCTATATACGCAGTCATTATGCTTGAAGTTTAACAATAGCAAAACATGACTGAGTAACATTTAAAAGGTTGTAAGAGATCAAAATTTTTGCCCCTTAAAAAAAAACACGTATACAAAGAACTTGTTCTCCGTTAGTAGCATGTAAGCACAGGAGCAACAAGAAAGAAGGCCCATAACATTTAGTCAACAAAGTTCAGAAGTCCAGCAATATTTATCTCATAAGCTATTTCAATGCAGAAAAATGTATTTATTTCTGAAGCATGAGCAACTTTTGTTTTGAATTATTTTTATTCTTTTTTGCCATAACCCTCCAATCCTCTGACTTCAATGGATTCTTATGCAAAAAAAATGTATAGACATATTTATAAATGTGCCTTTGGCATTAACTCGGGGTAAAAGCAACAAGGTTTAACAGATGTGACTCCTCAACGTTTTAGTTTTTAATACTGAGCTTTTTTAATACTGCTGTATTTCATCATTCTGCTGGTGCAGGAGTATAACCAAAGGCATTAAACCATGTTGCTGATCAACCGTGACTTAAGCCAGTATAGTAAGTGCCCAAGCACAGCACACTTCTGATGTGTAAATCCAACAGAAATAGGAATGCTGTTCTGTGTTACAAATTTTCCCCATTATCAGCTGGATTATTATTTTTCATATCACAGTGTCAGGAAATATAAGACTCACATTTCAATTCCCCACTTCCTCACATTATAAACATTTCATGGAAAATCTCATCTGGAACCTAAACTACTCGACAACACCCTGTTGAAGCTTGCCTCTCTCCAGCCCTTCTTCTCTCCCTTCCCCCATCAGTAGTCAAAACTATTAGTATAAAAGAGAAAAAAATGTAAGCTTTACATAAACTAAAATTCTCTTCAGAATCTTTAAGGACGCACTAAAATATTAGCTTCTGCAGCTAAACTCTTCTTGACCAGTATTTAGTGTTGACCACCTGGCTCTGGACAGAAATAATGAAATAAATCGGACTTTTTTTCCCCTGTAGAATACATATCTTCCCTTTTCCTGTTTCTTTAGACAAACAGACACATCCCTACAAATACCTTCTTTTATTACAAGCTGATGCACATTAAGTGGAATTCAAAAAATCACTCTTGGCTAATTTTTGTACATTTTGGCTTTTGAACATCTGCTGGGTAATAGCAGGGCAGCCAAAAGCAAGGCATGGTCTCATTTCCCATGCTCATGGGCAAAAGGACGTGGGACGAATAGCTCCTCTTCTGGCTACAGACTCCCAAAAGGGCAGAACGATGCACCAGTCAGCTCACGTGCAGACATTTTATCGCCGTACCCTCAGTGTTAGCAGGAGTTATCTGCTCACACAGATCTTCCCAATTCTAGCATGTCCATTAAAAATATTATAGACTAGATTTACTTAATCACATTCAGAAAACAACTCTATTTAGCAACCAATGGCATTCTTCAAGCGAAAGGGCTGAAGAAACACACGAATTCAAGCTTCAGCAAGAAACCTGAATTTAAAGAGACATATTAAAAATATCCTCAAATTAATCTCCAGGATAGATCTATTTGTGTAGTTGCCATAGAGATGAATGTAACATGCACAGTGGGTTAGAGAAAACAATTTCAAGTTCATTGTCTCCTTTACTTCTCTACTGCAAATGGATTTGAGAGGTTTGTGAAATGCAATTGTCTAATCAATAGGTCAGCTTCTTCCGGCTGGATTGTGTGCTATGTATCTACAGTTAAAATGCCATGGCCCCCACACAGCACTTGGCATTACCTCTTAAATCTACTTAGCCAACATAAAGCACAAGGCTGAGTGTAACTACATAGTTTATATAAAACTAATATCAGAAGATGGCTGAAATAATACAGGAACAGTTCGTCTGTCCTGCTTAAAACAGAAAAAATAGGGAGAAAGCAATTTTGAAGAGCAAAGGGTATTCCTTGCAGTTCATTGATGGCTTGGTCATAGGCCACAGCTAGCTGAAAACACAGCTGCCTCCTCCAGCATTACAGATGAGCAAAAGAAAAGGAAAAAAAGTAATCCATCTGCTTGAATGCTGACTTGATTGCTTCTGACAACAGTCTCTAAACCTTGGATGAATGAGGCATCAATTCTGCTCACTAGAGTGACAGTTCTTCCCAGCATGGCTTCTCTGTACAGGCAATATTTGCTCTCTAAGTCACAAAGAGAAAGAAAAATTAATAATGAACATATTTTGTAACAAAGGAGGCCTGCATAAGTCTGAGGATGTCTATCCCCATTAAAAGAAGGCAGATTACAGTTTCAAAGGCAAATTAAGACAGCATAAACCAATACTGTCACCAAAGGCAGCCACGTGTGTCTGAAATCACTCCTTTCTTGCACGGAACGCTCCCACTGGATGGGCACATGAATCTGTGTGTCTTCAAAATGAACCGGAAAGGTAAACTCTTCCTGGTTAAAACTACTCAGTTTTTTTGCTAGGTTAGTCTTTAACCTAGAACACCTGGCTTAAGAGCCTTAAAAGTGCACATGATGAGGCAGGATCAACCATGAAAGACTACAGTTTTCTATCACTGAGCATGCGGTGTTTTACACAACACCATAAAGCTGCAAGGAAGCGATTCACTAGTACCTTGGGAACAAAGTGCTTGGTAACTGCCACACTGAGTGGTCTTTTCAGGAGCAGATTATTGAAAAGAGCAACAGTTGCATCTTGAAACACTTTAGATCATAAAGATTCAGACTTTGTACTAGCTCATAGCATAGCACAAAGAATTATTTCACAGCATGGTCAAAGATCTCTCACTAGTGATGGCTGGAGCTCTTTACGTGACTGTGGGACTTAGTAGAGGAAGACATGGTAACTCCATTAATTCTTTTCTGAGATCTCAGCTCTCCCCTGCAGAAGGTTTCCATCTTTTCACTGCCCTAACAACCAGCCCGTCACACTGACATTACTAGGTGAGATCAGTAAGTGCTATAAAACACAAAGCTGACAATAATCTTGTAACACTCAATTCTACAACTCCATCAACGTGACTGGAAAAAAGACAATTCAACAAGCTTTTCTTAACATTTGAGAGGAAACAAAGAACTTGTTCGCTCTGCTGATGTGCTCCGTATGCCTCAAATTATGACCAGAGATCTGACGTCTCTCTTTTATATCCAGATCTCAGTTTTCTGAAGGACAGTACAATGAGTGTCAAAGAAATGCCTGTAACTAAATATACTATTTCAGAGGAGTGTGAAAAGAGAGAACAATCGTAAATGAAAACCAAGAGGCTGGATGACAGACCAGTGATATGAACTATAGCAAAGCCTGCATTCCCGTTTCTGAACACAATCTCACGACACGCTTAACATGAACTAACCACAAAATGCTGACAAAACGGGTGATCTGTGGTCCTGAGTTCCAGCTTCTACAAAATAGCCCTGGCCCCACAGGCAACGTTCTGGCATCTTCCTCTTATTTCATCTCACAATTGTGCAACCAGACAGGTAGGGCCGGTGGCTGAAGAGGGGAAGGGAGAGTAGCGCTGCTCCTTCTGCCGGCTGCCTGAAATTAGACTGCACTGAACACGCTGAAAATCTGATCTGTAGAGCTACTGATACAACGACATTTTTAAAGCAGGACTTCCAGGTGAACGTGGCCCAGACTGCCTTGTAAGTGCAGCAGTTAATAAACACTGCTATGCAACAGGTAAAAATCCAGCAGGCAAGGCACATCTGGAAATAGATTAAAATTATCAAATTTTGACTGGTGTGAATAATTTAGCCAGCAGAACTGTTTCAATGATTCTGTGCAATGATTCTGCGCTGCCTATTAGCACTCTGATAAGGCGCTTTTCAAATTAAAAAATAATCAAGCCACACAGATTTCTATCAAAACACAATAACTCTGCTTCCATAACGCTCTCATTTATTTCCTGTTCTCAGAAGACACAAAATATGAAAAATTACTCTATGTCCGCCCAGTACCACAAACGTTCAGAAAACAGGCAAGTCTCTCACCTCTTTAATCTCTCACATTCTTACCTACCTTAATTGCATTTAATATCACATTTGCTCCCTCTTTCTTTCTAAATGAAAAAAGTGTGCTGGTTAACACCTTCAGTACTTGCTTCCAGAACACTACATTCAAGTAAAACTTAGTTCACATAAGATATGTGTAAAACTTTCCGCTGAATTT